ACAGGTGAAACTCAGACAACAAAAGCTGTCTTCTGGATGTACAGAGCACGGGGGTGTAGGGGTCAAAGGTGGCTCTCCCGTTATGTAGAAGCAGAATGTATGTATATAACCCTCCTACCCTTGGCATAACAGGTGAAGAATCACAGTGTTTGGAAAAAATCCCATTCTTTCTTGTCTGCATGAAACCCAGACTGCATAGACAGCTCAGAGCATGGACAGAATAAGCCTGTCTGCATTATGGAGAATGGTTTGGGTTGGAAGGGACCTTTAAGACCATCTCGTTCCAACCTCCTGCTGTAGGCAGGGACACCTCCCATAGCCCATGTTGCTCACAGTCCCATCCAGCCTGGCCTCAAGTGCTTCCAGGGAGGGGGAGGGGGCATCCACAACCTTGCTGGGCAACCTGTGCCAGTCTCTCACTGCCCTCACAATAAAGAATTTCTTCCTAATATCTAGTCTAAATCTACCCTCTTTCAGTTTAAAGGCATTTCTCCTCATCCTATTGCTACCTGCCCTTATAAAAATTCCTTCTCCAGCTTTCCTGTAGGCCCCTTCAGGTCCTGGAAGGGCTGTAACATCCCCCTGGCGCTTTCTCTTTAGGCTGAAGAGCCCCAGCTCTCTCAGTCTGTCTTTATAGGGGAGGTGCTCCATCCTCTGATCATCTTCTCTGGACCTGCTTTAACAGCTCCATGTCCTTCTTGTGTTGGGGGCCCCAGAACTGGACACAGAACTCCAGGTGGGGTTCACTTTCATCTTGGCCACCACAGGCAGAAAATAATTTTCAGTTTGCATAAATATCAGCTAATATTATCCCCCATGACTACTGGAACAAAGGCATGTGATAAGTACTGCTTCTGGGATGATTTTCCCACGTGCTTACCAGCTATGAGCAAAATGTATCAAAGTATCTTGGGACGGACCACTTCTGTGTACATTAAAAAAGTGAGTAGGACTTTATGGAAGGATACATCTTGAATGAAACAGTGGGCATAACAGTCATTAAATGCAGTTAGAAATTATTTTCTGCTCCTTTTCTGCAGATCTACACACATCCATAAGTTTTTCTTACGTTTAGGATAACTGATGGTTCAATCTGTGGGAGCTGGTGGACAAAAACACACGATCCCAAAGCCCAGGCATCAAATACAGATATCACTGAAGTTACTATCCAGCCTGTGTCTGTAACGCTCCACACTGTGTCTGACGGAGTTGCATACAAGGAGGACCTAGAAGCAGGAAAAAGAATTAAAAAAATAAAAAGGAAATGATAACTTTGGTTTAATTAAAAGAAAAAAAAAAAAAAAAAAGCAAAAGGAAAGCAAATGAAACCAAAGGGTCACTGTTCCCCACTCCTTTCGTAAAAAAACCCAAATATCCAGCAACCAGCAACGCCAATAGAAAACAAAAATCAAATCCGAGATGGCTAATGAGATGTGTGGGCTCTGGGCGCACTCAGTAAGTTCATTTGTTCATCCTACCTCAGGAATGAAAGGACCTCTAAGGTTTAAGTATTTGTACAAATAAACACATATATGGTAAAGATAGGAGGTCATTCATAACATAGGATTCAATAAAGGAAAGAATTGCAATAAAGTGACTTTTCTTGGGGAGGAAGGTAGGGCTGAAGCAGAAGCGTGTTGATTCTCTGTTGAACACCAGGTATTTCAGTTCATGTCTGCTGAGGGATCAGGCTGATCTGTACAGCCAGCATCAGCTCTCACTCTGTTCATCTACACACATGACATAATTTTTGCAGCACAAACAGCGCGATATCCTTGGTTTTGCACTCTAAAATATTCCCAGCTTGTGTCTGTCCTTTGAACCACTCTAAAGAAAGACTGGAAGATAGTCATTGGAAAATGGAAACTCTGGGGCTGATCCTACTTACATGGAAATCTGTCAGAGTTTCTAACCTGATTTCTGGGGGAGGAGGACTGTAGCCTTACATCTGAGTATGTCAGGAACTTTCCATCAGTTGTACTGTGCAGCTGTGCAGCTCTAATTAACAACCAGGCTCGAGCCTTTCATACCTTTCATATAACAGGGGTCTAAAACCAAGGCTGCCTTGGGAATGTTCGGTCATCTTTGGAGAACCTGTGGTTCCACTGGTAAAGTAGATAATCATCGAATCTTGAATCCTTGTTTTGACACAGGAATGTTCAGCAGGCTGGGTTCTGTAAGGCACAGAATGCAATTGGTGACTTCAGTGATTACATGGGTTTCAGGATGTAAGCTTTGCAGAAGCCTTTCACCAAATTAGACTGAAACTGTGTAGAACTGCGCTTTCCTCCATGACAAGATTCCACTTAAGAAGGACAGGGTAGAAACTTCCTGGAATAAAACTGAAGACTCTTGGTAAACAGCTGCTCTCAGCAAACAACTCTGATGTGGAAACAGTAATCAGGCAGTCATGAATTCGCGCCACTAAAGCTTAGTGTTGGCGTTTGATGGATATTCACAGTTGATGAATGCTTGTAAATGAGCATTTGTGGAGAACAGGTCTGCTTTCTGCATCATGACTGTAATGCTGCTCATGCATACTCACTTGTACAGTTCATTGAAGTTCAGCCATCCCTCCCTACTGTCTTTGGACACCATCAGCTTGTTTTTAAGATACTGGCACTCAGATGCAACTGAGTCTATTGCAGGAGCCAGAGCGTCGGTGGTGATGATGCACTTGGCCTTTGAAGCCTGGAGTCGATATAATATGTCTTTGGCTGATAATTGGGATGTTCCTGGAATTAAGACAATTCCTGGAAGAGCAATATGGTTAATTTAGGATAACATTTTTTACATCCGATCTTTTCCTAAGAGTCTAAACTAGCAACTATTCCCAAACTGACCTCTGGATGGATTTGCCCTGACATTCCCAAGTCAGTTAATGTTGGAGTAATGCAGCTGCTGTGCCCTTCTGTAAGAAATCAGAGGTGGACCTCTCTGGTGACTCCTCAGCTCTCCATGCCCCTAGGCCACCTGCTCTATGGCACCTACTGCAAATCCTTCAGGGCAGTAATTGGTAGCTAGGCAACTCACTTGATTATTAATTTACATTACTTCTCCTTTATAAAGGATTCTGTATCCTCTGAAACGATTTGCATTAAATACCAGTTTTACTGATCTCAGATATGCTCACTTACCTGCTCGAATGCAAGCCACATTCACCAGCCACCACTCTGGGATTCGTGGCAGAACCACAATCACTCTGTCTCCTTTTTGCAGTCCACATACTTTGGTCAACATGTTGGCCACTTTCCGAGAAAGGAATCCCAGCTCCTCAAAGCTCCATTTTACTTCTTCTCCACTACCACTTACCCACCAAAAAGCAGAGTTTGTTGGTCTTTTTCCAGCCTAAAAACCACAAGGATTCCAAAGAAACCCCAATTTCTTCTTAAAGACTTCATAATTATAAAAGCACAAGTATCTGCAAGTTGTGGAGGATTCAGGTGTTTTCGAACTTGCATATGAGCCATTATTTTCCTTTGTCCTTAGGGAGTGCAAGACTCTCTATGAATCATAGTCAGATATTCCTAACAAATTGCCCTTTTCTAACCTGAGGTGTTCACCATTCTGTGCATCTCCAGACTCAAGTCATCTGAATTCTATTCCTGTTTAAGCTTAGAGCATTATTTCTCTTAAGAAGGTAATGGGCAACATGAAATATTTCACCTAACAATTGTGATATTCTCAATGGAGTTGTGGAATACTAACAAACAGAAGCTACCCGGGCAGAGGGGAAAATAAATCAGGAGAATGCAGTAACCCAGGACAAGCCTGAGAGCTCAGGGAGAGGGAGTGAACAAAGCAAGAGGTCGTCAGCGACACGACATCTGGACAAATGCAGCCTCTGCTTTGGAGCAAGCCAATTGCACACTTGTGGAAGAAAATTCCTTGGCATGCAGTATTATTGCTATGCTACTCTTGTTTTTATGATGTAACAGCTAATATTATGGCATGCAGAAGAAATAAGCACAACCAATCCAAGGATAGATCAGGGTCATGAGGGTCTTATCATTGCTTTTTCCACCTACACATGGAGCACCAAGGATCAGAGACACTTGTAATAAATGAAGCAAAAAGAAATAAGATCCCACATCATTTCCTGATGCATATTGTTTTTAGCAACTGATTATTTTTTTAATAAAAAGAAGTTATTACTTTAAATTAATTAAAGGCTCTCATCTGCCCAACAAAAGATCACCTACCTTTTCAATCTCAGCCCATTTGTCCACTACATCACTTGCAAAGTTAAAGTACTTTGGTATTTCCTGTTCACCACGCCTGACAGATTCGTACTGAGAGTGCACATCAGAGACAAGCAGCCTGGGATGCCTATGGAAAGTCCTACAAGGAGGTTTCAGAGTCCACAACGATTTTAGAGTCCGTAATTTACAAATCTTCATGGTAGGATATAAATGGAGATGCTGTAGACTGCGTAAGAAAGTTAATGGCATCATTGCTATTGTTTTTCTGTAACAAAAATAATGAAAAAGAGAAACACTATCTTGAAATTAACCAGACAAAGAAAGATAATTCTATTATAAATTGATTAATTATTAGTTGAATTCACTTAGACTATTCACAGTAAAACTGATGTTTAAATGCAAAGTTCCCCAGCATGCTTTCATGTATTTTGTACCAACAGCTTCTTAAACTACTTACATGATCTTAAACTACTGACATGATCATATTGTCTGTAGCTTGGCTGATCCATACAGATTATAGATTAGTTCTTCAAGGCTGCTAACATCACTGACATGATGGAAGGATATTTGTTCTTACACCAGAGCACTTGGTATTTGATTTTCTGAGATTCTTCTTGTTTCACATGGAACTGAGGGATGTTTCCAGTTTCCATTTGGTCACTGTAAACGTCCTCCCTCTTCTATCTGTTCTCAACACTAGAATCATAAATGATCTGCAGTCTAATGAATTGCTTCAATTTTATTGCTATTCTTTTTTCTTTTTAATTTTTTTTTTAAATTTTTTACCATTACTTTCAGTAACCTAGAAGATTGCTTCAGAATCTTGCCAAACAATGATGGAATGCTGTTTAGAGGTGCCTGTTGAGCATACATGAACACTATCCAACATGGAAAAAAACCTGGTTTGCCTCTGGAAGAGTCTGCAGAAATAGCAGGGGACAAGGCAGTCTACGATGATTCTGAAATCTGTTCCTTTCTATTGATTTTCAGCTGCTAAATATAAATTACTAGTCGTGTTACAAGCTTAGGTGAGTGATTGCTGATATTCAAGTCATTTTCTTTCCTATTCTTACAAAGAATGAAGCCATCAGCCAGCTTGGAAAAAATAACAAGAAAGCTTTTGATTAATTTCTGGTCCACATGAAATGTGTGACCTGAGTGAAGCTGCAAAAATAGTGAGTTTTGCCCTTTGTCCCATGTTTTTAAGTTAGTTTTGTATTCAGTTTATATTGTCCCATATCTACAACCATAACCTCTGACGTACTGACCACGATTTTCATAAAAAAAAAAAACATTATTCCTCATGACAAAATAAATATTTTAACAGCAGAATTCTTTCCTTTTTTTATTAGCAGGAGCTGGTAACAATCACATTTGATCTTCCTGTCAGGAGGGTGAACTCAGATACCTACAGCTTGCATAACTTAATCTTTTCAGTGAGATACGACAGCTCAAGAAACTCTGTGGGCTGGATGCAGAATGCTTCAACATCTTGTTATGATTGTGATCTTTGGTGAAGCAAAGAATCTCATGACGGTATTCAAAATAAACACAAATGTGTTACTGGGTAGGCAGTACAGGAAACTGTCATGCATTTACACAATGCCCGATGGAGTGTTATGCACCGTTGCCACATAAAAACATTCAGTGACCAGTAATGTCGTTCATTATCATTGCTGGGAGATGGTAATACCAGTGGTCTTGAAAAGAATTACCAGTTGTTCACTTCTAACTTGCTGAGTGAACGAAAAATGCAGGAAAATTTTTAACCTGGTGCATTTAACCCATTGCCTTTAACCCAGAGTAATAAGCAAAGAGGCGAGAGTGGTCAAAGAGAAACATGGTCTTGGCATCAGTGACTGGCAGGAAGGGCTGAGATGGGGCTGCAGGCATTCCCCTGACTGGTCCACCTTCAGCTGCAGGTCTGCCTCACCCCAGTGCTATCAGAGAAATAATCCAAGAGGGCATGCATGTCCAATCTTTGGGCTTGCCAGGGCCGCATTGAATGAGGAAGAATTGTCTTGGCCAAAAGTAATGCCTCCAATTTATTTTCATGGAAACTACAGCAGATACAATGAGCACAGCAACTCTGCTTGATAGAATTACATATTTTTCTCTGTAAACAGGATTGTGTTTTGGCAGTGTATCAGAATGCATGCATTTATTTGCCATAACTTGAGATGATGATATATGATTCTGTGTCCTTGTATGCCCTTTTCCAGCATCAGTTGTTAAAACAGTGCTCAACTCAACTAATACATCCATTAAAAATGAATAAAATCAGGTTCACAGCAGTAAGAGGATGTTTCCCCTTGACAGAGAGAATCAGGTTCCCGAATGGGTGCTTGAAAGGGAATGGAAAGCAAATCCGATTAAAATCCAGTACGTGCATTCTGATAACTACATGGGTACCCCAGAGGGATCATGACAAGCAACAGAAGAGCCATGCTATCCTCTTCAGAATTAGGATTATAGAGGAAAAACTTAGAATCTAGGTGGTAATTGCATTTAAAGTCAAAATCCTACTAACAGGGATGTGATCTATTCTAAGAATCTAAAAAGGTTTTACTTGTGAAATATGGCCTTTTAAATATTTCCTAAATTCTACTTAAAAAAAGGATATTAAAGATTTTTTAACATAATATTCTAAGAAATATGTTTTTGTTTTTCTTACTTAAGAAAACCACTTTCACTGAAAAATAGCAAGCTTTGCATTAAATGTAACTTCTCTTTGAGATATGACCACTATCATTAATGCTGAAAACCAATGGATCTACTTTCAGCCCTGTAACACAAACGCCTAATAATTTAGATTATTCTTTTTAATATCACAATAAGCTCTAATATCATAGTGTGCTCTAATTCTGTGATTTAGCTAAAATCTGTAGATTTAAGAGCATTGTAAGAGCAAAATACACAGTGGTTAGAGAGGAGACTACAGACATTCAGGAGCACTGTTCAAGTTTGGACAGACTATTCAAAGCTGACAAAGTGAAAGAGACTTTAATTGGAGGATTCCCTGGTGGTCTGCCAGAATTTACATTAAGTTTTGAAAATGAAAGAAGAAAATTGACAGAAGGATACAGTAATGAGAAAGTATTTTGAATTGCTGCTGGAATCAGAAATCATTTTTCCTGATTAGTACCAATTGCTTCTCCTTGGTGTCGCGTCGTTAGAACTCGAACAACACTTTTCACCAACCTGTTTGCTCTGGGCAGCGTGGATGGGTTGAGCTGCCTGCAGTCGATCCTCTTCACTGGTTCATTCAGCTTGCAAGACACGCTTCCCAAAGGCACTTTGGGAAGACTGGCTGGAGATGTGCAGCTCAGACGTGCTAATTAAGAAGCACTTGGAGTGATGGCCCTTTACCAATTGCTTTTTTCAAAGTAATCAGAGCAGAACATAGAACAAAACTGACCAGGCAGTGTAATAATTTCTAGAGTAACCTTTCTCCTTGTAATCATTTACACCATTGTCAATCAATTTGCACCTTAGCCTAAAGAACTTTGTATATTCTTTTCTTCCATTCTAACCATTTGGGAAGATCATAGGTTCATCAGAGTGAGAGGTAATCACACAATATGTCCTTCTCCTTCCAAACAGAAAGAGTTTGGGAATAAGGAGAATATTTAAAGAGTGAATATCATTCAATCACTGTTTGTACTCATTACAGGGCAGAGATTATTTTTATTAATTTCTCATTTATTTGTAATTGTCAAAATTGCTGTGGTCCTTTATTTTTTTAAAGGAATCTGATGTTTATATTAATTGCAGTAAAAAAAATTAAACTTCCATGCAGTCTTGGATGACTCTCTTCTCTCTCATACCACATTTTTAATTATTTGTGCCTTTTCCCATCTGAATAATTGTGGGTTGATGGTAGAAGTGGTTCTCATATCACACATCCCCAAGTTATATGAGTGGTGCCTCCATTTTTGCCTCCCGCAGCTTGTTCTTCCATACATTCTCTTGGTGCTCTGGTTCATGATAACGTGCCAAGTCCAAACACTGTGCCTTGGCTGACATGGATGATGGAAATTTTCTCTCCTCCATTTTCAGATAATGTTATGCTTTTCCCCACTCTTTGTTTCTTAGAACCTTTCTCTGGATTTTCCCTGTAGCTGTCTTTGGCAGAGACTGAACAAACTCCACCTGAGTGACAAAAAATGCTCGCTTTTAGCCAAACACATTGTGATTAATCTTGGAGATGCAAGGAAAGACACTCTAACATTATGGTGAGGGTAACAGGATGCAAAGCTGCACAGCTTGGAGCTGGGATGGTGAAATTCTTTGCCGCATGTCTTACTTGCTCTGCACTGGCTATATTTGCTTGCGAGGGCAAGTAAAATGATCCTGGAGAAGAGTCTGCTTCAACTATTAGGAAGGAGAGTCGTGAGTGTTCTCTAGACGTGATGCCAGCAGAAATTTCTGCTTTGTTATGACTGCATCTGAACACAGCTCAGGGAAAGAACTGATAAGGACAGAATGCTTTGTCCATTTGAGTTTCTGTGAAAACCCTGCTATTTCAGGAGCTGGGCTCTGATATTACCATTTCCTCTTTCTTTTTCTTCCCCCCACTCCACAGAAGAACAGCAAATCCAAGGCTTCAGCTGCAACGCATTCTCTAAAATATTTTTATACTGGAAGATTTTGTCAAAAAGTAGTGGAAAAGAAACAGGGGCAGGACAAAACCAGTGCAGTGTCTGATGTAATTAGAAGACCTGGCTCTTTATGGCGTACTTACCTTTCTGGGGTACTTGTAAGGAGCAGTCACCTTTTTGACATGTTGCTGAAGATCATGAGTTAGTTTTTCTGGGTTGTGTGATGCAAAAGCAGGAGACAAAACAACGAAGGCTTTGACTACCTGTGCCACAAAAGTGAAAGGACTCTGTTAACTTCTAGATGTGTAATTAAGGGATTGCTAAAACTGAACACCAAAATACAAAAATGTGAGTTTTTTTCTTTAATCTCGCCTGTTCTTGGCTGTTTATTACAAAATTAGTTGTAATGAATGACATATATTGAAGCATGGGAATGTTTGCTTTGTTTTCTTTCCATGTTTTTCTTCTTCTTAACTTTTATACACTACTAAACTTTCCAAAAGTTTTAGAGCAGAAAGCAGCTGAATATTTCATCTCAGATCTCAAAGACACAATGCTGAGCTGAAACAACAGAACCAAAAAAACCCCTCTGTGTTTATCACTGCCACCAAGTGCTTGGTGACAGAATGCAAGGAATTAAATCTCAAACGCTATTTCTTAGACAAAAAAATGCCACAATAAATCTGTTTTTCCAAATGAAACCTTGCTACCAGGGAAATGCTGAAAATCACAATCTATTAAGGCACAGTTTTTAATTTTTAATCCATTTTAATTTCAAAATCTTCCCAAAAGAAGTCCACTATATGCAGAGAACTCGATGCTTAGTATCAAATACATTTCTTTCCATGTCTTTACCTCTCCTCGAATTGGATCAGGACTGCTGACAACAGCTGACTCTGAGACTGCTGGGTGTTGTATTAATGCACTTTCGACTTCAAATGGACCAATACGGTACCTAGCAGAAAAATCCAGATACAAAAGCCACAGCCAACCTGCCATTGCACTGGTTTTTTCAGATCGATTTTTTAAATAAAAACAGATCATTAACAGGTAAACAATGGAATCTAAAAACAGACGACTTACCCAGCAGAATTAATTATATCATCAGATCTTCCAACAAACCAGACGTATCCTTCTTCATCCATAATCCCTCTGTCCCCAGTGACATAGAAGTTTCCAGTCATGCAGGCAGCAGTTTTCTCTGGATTATCCTGACAACAATCAATAGTAAAACAAAGAATGTGATCAGGACTATTTCTTAAGCAATTCTCATTGCAGTATTTTAATACTATTTTATGAGTTAGGTTTAAAAGAGTCACATTAATTAGCAGTCTTTCATTGGAAGTATGTGAGAAGCAGAAAAGAATATTTGTTTGTCCATGGATTCATGTTCCATCAAAATGCTCATTTATCACAGTATTTTGCTAAAATGAGTAATCCACTCTCTTCAGATAAATGTTTTCTTGTTTTTTTCTTGCAGGGGGGCTCCACAATGACCTGTCAATAGAAACTTTTTACCTCTATCTTTCAAGACAAAAGCAAAACGAGGTGACCTACAGCAAAAACATCATTAACTATACTGATCTATTGGATGAACGTTATACAAGAAGAAAAAAAAAAGTTTGACAACTGAAAACTTGAGTGTTTTTAATCCATAATTAATTTCTGGGAGTTTTTATTAGGGGATGCTACAAATACCCAAATATTATGTGAGTTCAGAAGAGGTTGAAACATATAGCTAGGTTCCTCAAGGCTTATTCAATGTGATGGTCCAAATGCAGCAAAGAAAATCTACTATGGTCAGGTACAGGTGTGGAACAAGCTACTTCTGCTTCGTGCTGCAACTTGCAGTTATACACTGCCAGTCTGTTCTTGATCAGATGTACTGATCAGGCTCAAAGCTCTCAAGCCATGTAGAGAGGCCCTGTGAAGATTCTGGATGAAATTCTGCTCCTCAGTAAGTTTGCCCTGGGTCTCTCTTGAGCTTCTCAGCAGGCACAGGCAAGCAGAAGAACTCAAGCTTACCAAGTACTCAGTGAACATACAGAAGGGTCGTGACGGTTGAACTTGGATAGCAATGTTGCCTTCTTCTCCTTTAGGCAGAACAGCCCCATGGTCATCTATGATCTACAGGAAGAACAGAATTACAGAATAACCTGAGTTGTAGGAGACCTCCAAGGATCATCAAGTCCAACTCTTGGCTCACATGATCTGAGAGTGTTGTCCAAATGCTTCTTGAACTCAGGCATCCTTGGGCCATGACCGCTGCCCTGGGGGGATCTATTCCACTGCCCAACTACCAGTGCCCAAAGGGACGTGTCATTACAGCACTGATTAACTTAATGAGATATCTGTGATGTAACAGTGAACAACACGCAGGGCCTCAGCGTTCTAACACGTGTGCCCGCAACCACAGCTGAGCTCAGACACAGTGTATCAACATACCTGCACATTATAAGGTGGAACAGCTTTTCCCAAAGAGCCAGGTTTAATTTTCATTCCTTTCATATTGGCACATATTGTTACCTGCATAATAGATAAATAAATATACACACATATGTATACATACTCATATTTCTGCAGCATTTTGTAGATTTTATTATGGCCTTGCATTAGGCATGTTGCCTCTTCATGACTTTGTCATGACCAGGACTGAATGAGGACCAAAGCACCATGGTTCTCCATCACATCAGCGAAGGGTCAGCTGTGTGGAATGAGGTTGTTTTTGCCCAGACTGAGCCAGTGGATTCTTCTGTAAACACTTGAATTTGCAATCCAGCAGAGACAAAGCAGCAGAGACATCGCATATCTTATTTCAATAATGGGAAAATTAATTTGGGACCATCTCGAGGGTAAGTAGAGAGAATGCCTGAAATCTGATTCTTAATATCTTTGTTATGTTTGCCTACAGAGTCAGCAGGAATGTGAACTGATTTAATACTTTCCATCAGAAGCTCAGATGAGCCAAACTGATACTCAGAGCAAATTAATTGTTGTTTTCCCTTCTGAAGCAAAGACGATGAAGGGATCTACTACAAGTTATTTTGCAGGGAGTTTCTTTTTAAAAAAGTTCATTTAAACGATTCTCACTTTTCCACTGATTAATCAAAGCACACTGTGCCTCGGGTGTTGTTACCTTTGGGATGGCATACTGCAGAAATTAATACAAACATACTGTTTCAGTCTGGCCATAGCCTTCATAGATATCCAGTCCTGTCTGGATTTTCCACTTCTCCATCACTTCAGGATTGAGCGGTTCTCCTCCACATACACAGTGTTTCAGAGTCACGAATTTGTAGCTTCAGAAGAATAGCAAATAAAAGAGTTTTCTTAATTTTTGAAAATAGCAGTTGAATGATCTGACCTGGGGAATGTGCCTCAACTTTCAAAGGAAGTATGCCTAACACTTCACAAGCTACTTTGGAAATGACTACAATACTTCTGTCACACTATCCTTGATTGGACTCCAGATTGCTCATGTTACCACTGAGGGGATTTATCTCTGTGTCTGTAGGAGCTGGGTAAGGACAAAAAAAAGTGTTTGAAAATTTTCTCGGAAGAAGAGTAAACAAAAACATTTCCTCAGGAGTAGAACAAGAAAAGAATTATCTGAACAAACACGTCGGTGTTGTTGGAAAGCTGAATTAGGTGGCTGTGTCCTGGCAAAATAAGACAAGGAGCATGAAATCTCCTTACAAACCACACTGACTACTCATAAGCTTAAATATTTTACAGTGCAACAGACCAGTGGGAACAGCTGCCAAATAACTGTCAGCATGTCAAAGTCCTCTAAATCTTTATGTTCTCAAGGATACAGCAGTGACTTCATTGTACTCCAGCAGCTCCTTGATCCGGTGCTGTCTGAAATCCTCCTTGACTTAAATTTAACTGTGAGCCATAAGTTTGGTTTGACACCTTAAAAAAATATGCCTAATTTGTATCTAATAATTTTAATCTAATTTCCTATGCGCTCTTTTTTCAGAGATTCCCTTTCTGAAGCCTGAATGGATCAAGGTGTGAATACTTATTCTTTTTTGGAATATAGCCCTCTCTTCTGAGAGCAAGGCTTTCCTTTAGTTAGCTTTTCTTTAACTGAAAAAAAACCAAACCTAGCATAAGTAACTAAATGGCCAGTGCTGTCATAGCATTATATCCCAGCCCCTGCTACCCCTGCAACACACAGATGTGCAGTACCTGCTCACATCATGTTGGATAAGCATGCGGTAGGCAGTGGGGGCAGTGCAGAAAATAGTGATAGGGTATCTTGAGAGAGTCTAGAAAAAAAAGAAAAAAGGAGGTGATTTTATTGAAAAGAAAAGGTAATGGTGGCTCTGACTTAGTATATATCATCAGATGTTAACATGACTAGAGGGAATGGCCTCAAGCTGTACCAGGGGAGATTTGAGTTGGATATTAAGAAAAATTTCTTCTCCAAAAGAGTGGTCAGGTGCTGGAATGGGCTGCCCAAGGAGGTGTTGAAGTCACTGTCCCTGGAGGTGGAGATGCGGTACTCAGGGACATGGTTTAGTGGGAAATATTAGTGGCAGGTGGATGGTTGGACTGGATGATCTTGGAGGTTTTTTCCAACCTTGGTGATTCTATGATTGTATGACTTCTGTGCTAAAATGTTTGCAAAATGAAACCCATAAACATGTGATATGTTTAACATGGAACAAATTATGAATGAATGAAATACTCTGAGCATAGAGTGGTTGTATCAGTCAGGGCTGATGTTAGAGAAAAAATACAATGCTTTCTGTCCAACAAAAATCATTCATATATGAATGACCACTGAGTGCATCTGGTAGTTCCATGTAGGATCATTTTCTGCTTCCCAAGGTGATTGTCCTAGACCCAGAGTTAAGTGACAGTAGTGAACTGAGATGAAGCTTTTCCAAGTTTATTCTTGGGGCAGTCTGGATCTCCTCTCCTACAAGAGGATGATGTTGCGGAGAAAGTTCTAAATAGCACAAACCCAGTTCAGGCACATACTCTACTCTGATTACTGACCAATGCCCACCTTCCTCCCAGAGTGCCCAGAAATCCATATTCAAATTTCACTTTAGGCTAAGCACGGGACAGGACAGCAGCGATCTTGTGTTAATTCTGTCCTGCATCTTTCAGCACATCTCTACCCTATAGCCTAACCAGGAAGGCAAACACTTGCTCCTCTTTTTTACTGTGCACCATAAGGAGGGGTAACTTGTCAGATGTGGGAAGCACCATGCCTGCTGCTGAAGAACGCTGTGTAGGTATGCTCTGGAATCCAGTTTGTTTGTTTCATTTATGCTAGCTGGAAATAAAGCTCACAGCATGAAATGTTATGCTTACTTCTGCAATGACTGTTGGTTTAAACTGTGGCATATTGTGAACAAAAACACAAGATCCACTGATCCATGGTGCAAAAATGCTGCTCCAAGCTGCCTTTACCCAGCCAGTATCAGAGGTATTCCACATTATATCTGAGGGAGTCAAGTTCATCCAGTACCTGATAAAGCAGAGGGGAAACATAAATGGCTCACACAGCATGAAAGACTTGATTTAAGCCCAAGTCACAGCACAATTAAAAGAAAGGACAGGAGGCTTCCATTAAAAAATCTGGTGTCAGCAATTAGGGCTCTTTAGAAAGTTTGTAGGAATTTAAGATTTGAAACATTCTCTTGTTTCCATTCATTTCCTCCCGATTAACATTTCCAGTGTCTGTTTTACCCCTGAACAGCCCAAAACAGCCTTGGAATGTGTTGTGTAATTGGATTCAGAAGAAAAACTGGTCATTTGGAGTGGGCTTTTCTCACCCTGTGGATTGGAGACATCAGCCAAACCACAGGTTACTACTCTAGGAAAATAACCAAGTTAGTTCTGTTGACTCCACGCTACCACCTTTCAACACAGAATGCCTAAGGATATTTATCTTTTATTTTTCACAGAATTTCTCCCTCCATGTTAAGTACAAATGAGAATGATGTTCAGTGGAGGTAAATAAGTGTCCAACTAGATTCCGAATGATCTGTGACTTTTCAGATGCTATGATAAAAGGCTTTTGGTTCTCAAGGAAGGCTTACATAATACTGAAGAACTCAACTTTATCTGGTTTGGCTACAAGGCTATCCTGACTGCTGCTCTGCAATCAGCCCTGTGAGTGATTAAACACTGTGGCTGATATTTTCAACTGAGTCTACAAAAAACTTTTAATAACCACTGTTTCACCCTGAGAGAAGAAAGAGGAGGAAGAAGATCCCACACTGATGTAATGCCTACATTTAATGCAGTTTTTAGTGTCACATTTTAAAAAATAATAACTCTTCATTGTGAGGGTGACAGAGCCCTGGAACAAGCTGCCTGGAGAGGTGATGGAGTCTCCTTCTCTGGAGATATTCAAAACCCAAGTGGGTGCTTTCCTGTGCAACCTGCTGCAGGAAACTGCTTTAGCAGAAAGTGTTGAACTAGGTGATCTCCAAAAGTCCCTTCCAGCCCCTGTCATTCAGTGATTATGTCACTTAATATATATAACACATTTATACACACTGAGAGTATCCAGGAACAATACCTGCTACTGGTTGCAAATCCGATGCCATAACTGCTGTGGGACTGCACCACCATTTTTGGAGAGCCTGTACTTCCACTAGTAAAATAGATGAGCATTGGGTCTTCATTTCTTGTCTTAACGCATTTGTGGTCAGCAGATGTCACCCTTCAGAAGAAACAGTACATGATAGTTATTACACGTACATTTTCCAAAAAGGAAACTTAATTTTTTAAGATTTAGGAGTTAAGAAGGAAAACAGTTGCACTAAAATATATGATCTCACAAAATAAATAGTTGCATCAGAAGGTACATGTATGAGTTAGAGAGCAGATTTTGATAATCACATTCGTGTTCCATACATCATAATTCTCACAATGTGAAAACCTAGAGCCTATTCCAGTAGCTGCAGATATATTTCAGTGTCTCTGAAAGCTTTTTGTGGAACAGCAGGTAGCTGCAAAGCCAACTTCTGCCTCAACACATGCCATCTCCCACTTTGAAGTCAGTGGAAGCCATATTCATTCTATGATGCCAGACAAGGTGCTCTTAGACACACATTATACTACTGAAGTTCAAGATGCTGATGAACTATCCAGACTGCCTGAATTATCAAGATAGTCAAGGGAAGAAATAGCTGATGCCACGCCAGCTGGGCAACAAGAATTGGCAACAGTTGTGTTATCACAGAATTCAAGAGCCATTAGGCTGGGATCTAGTAGAGAGGCACAACATGACTTCAGGATTAGTAGTCTGTGCTCTTATGTTGTGATCACAATTGTCAGCTTCTAAAAAGGTCTCTGCTTCCAGGTGCTAAGTAAGGAGCAGCTCAAGGATCTGATTCCAGCTCCCAAGAGGTATGCTGGAGGGATATGTACTTAATGTAGTGATAACAGTGAGTTGGCAGAGGGTTGGATAAACATAACTCATCTGTATTTTGGAATGTCAAAACTCAGCAATGTCACCTGACTGACACAGTTTCCTTTATTTCACAGAGATGAAGCTAAGACAACTGGATACTCACGCACAGAGTTCTCTGAGGTTGAGCCACCCTTCTCTGCTCCCTTTCGCTACAATTAGTTTGGCTTTCAGAAACTGGCAGTCAGGCAAGATAGATTCCACTGCAGGTGCCAGGGTATCGTTGGTAATGATGCACTTGGCCTTTGAAGCCTGGAGTCGGTATAAAATATCTTTGGCTGTTAACTGGGATGTTCCTGGAATGAAGACAATTCCTGGAAAAAAAGCAACAAAGAATTTGGAAAATGGTCCAATTGTCTTTATGATGTTTGTACAACATGATAGTGTCGAATAAAGACATTGTTCATTTTAGTAAGGAATTAATACCTCCAACGTGATACAGAGCTCAATAGACTGAGCTCAGGTGGCTTACGCGCATTGCTCAGTCAGCATCTCTGTCTAGCTTGGATTAATTTTGTAGCATAAACAAATGTGAGTTTGGATAATGGGCAGAATGTGATTGGTATCACAGTTTCAGAGGGGGAAAAAAAAAAGAATTTCCTGGATTTCTATACATCCTTTTCCCGAGAATTTCAATAGTTTGAACATACATGATTGATTTCAGTCTTGTTGCACCTTCAGAGGTGCCTACCAAATTTTTCAATTAGGAAACTGAAGAACTGAGCTACATAATACATAACACAGAAAAAAAAACTTGGATACAAAAGAACTGGGTTCCCTAAGCCTCAGTACCATGTGCAATCTGCAACAGAGCAAACAATACAAAAGTGCTTGTATGTGTCCCTGTTGATGCTGAATTATTCTATCATGGATGTTTTGCAGACTGAAAAGGTGATGGGTCGAATTCTTCTGAAGAATCTGTGGAAATAACAGCAGAGCAGAAAAGTACTGTACTGAATTATTAACTATTATTGTCATTAGAACTGTCCATACTGATAACACGTCTGGTCAAATCTGGCCTCAGATTGTAACCATTCTTCCTCCACTGCCTTCAACTAAGGATGGCATTTAATTGAGCAAAGTCTGTTCAGCATCTAGTTTGCAATGTTATTTAGGCTCCTATGTGGGTACTGCCAACTCTCCTATATAAAAGGAGAATTGTACAGAAAAGAATGGGTAATTCCCACTTACATTTTCCCTTTCCCCTCGCTCCCCCTTTTTTTTCTTTTCTTCTTTTTTCAGATTGACAGAGCCATTTTTTCCACATCTGTTTATTTTCTGTATTCTTTCTGTGTCTAAAAGATAAGACAACTCACCTGCCCGGATGCAGGCTATACTCAGTAGCCACCATTCAGGGATGCGAGGCAGAACTGCCAAAACTCTATCTCCTCTCTGCAAACCACATGCCTCAGAAAGTACGTTAGCTGTTTTCCTGGACAGAAATCCCAGCTCTTCAAAGCTCCACTTCACCTCCTCCCCTTCATCATTTACCCACCAAAAAGCTGGATTTGCTGGTCGCCTTCCATCCTAGAACATAGCAATAGAACATATTAAATAAAATGACAAACCTTGAAAGGTTTAGTTTCAATCAAAACTAGCTCCAGACTACACAAACAGTCTTTGGTAATTGATCCCTTGGAGTGATGCCCACATTTCTGACAAAGAAAATACTGTGTTGTAATTTCCAGCTGCTATTATTCAGCATCCATTATGAAAATTGTTCTTTATTGTCTGATATTTGTTTCATTGTCTATAAAATAGAAGAAAATCACCACCTTTTCCAGTTGCAACCACTCATCCAAGACATCACTTGCAAAGTTGAAGTATTTGGGTAGTTCCTTTTCACACCGGTTTACAGAGTCATAATATGAAATAATCCGGGATGTAAGAAGCCTGTTACATCCATGGAAAAGTCTGGAAGGTGACCTCAGAATCTGCAGGCACTGAGGAATCCGGGATATCATAAATGTTCTCATGATAAACGAAGATTTATCGGGCAGTGGGAAAAAAATCCAGATGAACACTTACAGGGATCAGACATCTGCAATGAAAGAAACTGTGTTTAGAAGCAGCCAGGTATTTGATTTTTTGCCCGTCTTTGATCTCTAATTTTTCTGCTCATGAATGAATCCCGTATCTCTTGACTCTTCTGAGTTTTGGTCGCAGAAATGAAATGGTCTAGTGCTCAAAGTCAGAAAATGCGTTGAGCTCAGGACACTTTGTATATTAGATTGATACCAACTATGATATCTATGATACAATTCTATGATTCAGGACTGTGAAATTACGTTATGTCTTACATGCACACTAGGTGGCGATTCTCCACACCAAATAATTCACCTATAAAACTGAGTATCATTTTCCTTGCGAGTTCTGATTTTTCTGGGGGCATGGAATATACTCAAACAGTGTGCAGGCAAATATGAAATTCCAAAATCTTCCATTTCTTCTTCCCTTAATCTGAAAGTGCATCACGATTTACACATTGTAAAACATATGAAGAAAATTCCATCACTTCTGTCCTACACAACACACAGGCACATGCAGTTATTTACAGCCCAGCTTGGGACTTCAAAAAAAATTGGCTTTTCTTTACTCATAGATGCAGAACCACCTGATTAAATTTATGAGCTTAGTCAAGTCCCTAAGGATCTAGTGACCTCGTTAAATCTAAGGGAACCTTAGATTTCATATCATTCTCCTCTTATTCCAGTTTCCCTCCTGGAGATTAGAAGCCCTTTTCAAATTTGTGCTTATTCCCCTGTAGAAGATTTTCAGAAGAGATTTGATCTGATTGCTGTTTGTTTCAGTGGCAGACAGGGAAAAACCAGTTCTATAAGCAGATGCCTTTGTCATCCCACCTGTGCTCTGGGAACCTTAGGTTCGGGTAGCTTACAACAGGGTATGTTCAGATCAAATAGGTCTTGTTCCTTTTCCCCTGTTATTCTGAAAGATGGTTTTTACTCTCTTAGGATAATACTTGCAAGACAGCTTTGGAAAAGAGATGAATAACAGATGTTTTTTCTGTTACTGAAGAGAAAACAACCACAAAGTCAAACAGGAGACTCTTATCTTCCTGCTTTTTTTCTTCCTTCCCTTTAGAACCTGATTGCTGTGTCTGTATTTACGTGTGATCTTATCTTGAAAGCAGCCTGAGTATACAGCTCTCTGATTTCATTAGTCAGCCTGAACAAGTGCTAATCAGACACGTCTCAAGGTGCATTACAACCCAAAGCCTTTGAGATTTACAAGGAAGAGTTCACTTGAAACCAAGCCTTCATCACACCAGGTATGAAAACAACCTAAACTGAAGCAATCTGTCAACTCCAAGAAGTGGAGACTAGCACATCAGCCACAATCAAGGTCACCAGCCACTTTTGAGAAGTACCTTCCTAATAGTAAATTTTTCATCCTTTAGCTTAAGAGCACGAAAGAGTGAAGCTACACTTTTATCTCTTCAAGAGAAACATTTCTTTCACTGTTAGCTTGGTTCTTGTGAACTGGACAGATCCATCCTCAAGTCATCTCTGTCCTTGCTTTCTGATCAGACCTCTAGAGACATTGCACCTTTGGGTGTACTCTTTAGGCTACAACTTTCAACATGGTTTAAGGATTGTAAGTGTTCCTACTACTGTTAGAGACTGGCAAATATTTTGGCTTCAGAGTTCACACTTGAAAGCTATCCAACAGTTGAAAGGAAACATTTGGAGCCTTCAGTTACTGTACAGACACTAGCTAACAAATTTGGGTCACAAGCTGTTCACATTGCATGAAATCGTTCCATAGCTGGGAATCAACAGCAATGTGCTCTGGTTTAACCTACAAAGTAGGTATCTTTCTTGAGCTACAACATGGTACTTCATCAGAGAGCTTACCCTGAATCAATCTGCAGGATGTAGCTTTGCAAGCACAGCAGACAAACAGGTATTAACCAGAGGAACAGCTATCATCTAGTTTTCCTAGTGCTTGCCCAGGGGAGCTGCGGTTGCTCCATTCCTGGAGTTGTTCAAGGTCAGGTTGGATGGGGCTCTGGGCAATCTGATTTAGCACTTGATCAATACCTTGGCATGCCTGCCCATGGCAAGGGATTGATGGTCTTTGAGGTCCCTTCCAAGCAAAGCCATTCTAAATTTCTATGATTCTATGATCCTATGATTCTAGTTACCTCACTGTCCTCTCTGTAGCTCTGTGCTGGGTTACGGCCACAATAGCGTGTTGTCAAATTGACTTATGCTTCAGAGGCATGTTTCCCCTCCTGTGCTGTCCACCTTCTCTCCAGGGTTCTTATTACTTACAGCAACTGTCTACCTATTATCACCACAGAAATTGTTTTTCCAAACACTGTTAGAGATGGGGAAGTAATTACGTTAACCTTCCAGTGGAAAGGTGCATTTGGCTCCACTGGTGGTAAATTTAACAACCTTATCAGCTTCTAAGTTCGGCTGATAAAACAGCAGCCATCTGAGCAGCAAATACTGCTGCTTAGTGCTCCTTTTCTCCTTTCTTTTTGGTCACCCAATAAAGGCAGGGCAAGATGAAGACGCATCAGTTCTTTCTGCCATTGTTATTTCTCTCATGTTTCCTGGATGTAGAGAGCATAAGCCCAAATGAAAGAAAGCTAAGGAAAGCCAAACTCCCTAAAATAAGAAAGGAGAACTGCGTACTCTTGCTGAAAAAGAGCAACTTTGACAGAGCATTGAAGGAAACAAAGTACTTGCTGGTGGAGTTCTGTGAGTATCAGCTTTTGTCTGTGTCTTATCCTGCAGCTCTGCAGAGCACGGCTGATGCTGGAGCACGAAGGTATGCCTGTTCTACTGTTGCTTTGTCCTCCAACAGCCCTTCTTCTATGTCCACCATGTTTCTATTTCTGACAATAACTACAATCACTGATTCCTTTTTGGAGTATTTGAGCACTGGCTCACTCCATAAAACTGATACTAAGATAGGTTTACATGTGTGCAGCTCCAACTTTGCATTCTCTGCTTCCACTGCCTAATCTTGCAAGTGTGTTTCACAGCGATGATGAGTGAAACTGTGTTCAAAAATCAGAGAGGGCTTTCCTCTCTCTTACATTTTCATGTACGAGATTTATGCCAGATGGCATCTGTCCTCTGTAAGCGTTTGGGCTTCAGGGAATGGCTCAGTACATTATTTTAGTGCCTGTAACTGCATGATATGGGTTTGCAAGACTCTCCCTGAAATCACTAGATTAGGTGCACTAGATTAGGTGGAAGCAGGCTTGTGGTTTTTCTATTATGTTCCTGCTCATTCCTCATGGGGAGCAACTCATTTTGTGAGTTCAGAGGCCTGGCATTACAAGAAGTAAATAACAAAAGCAAAAGCCAAAGAACAGTCTTGT